ACTGCTGGTGCGTCTACAAAAACGGCACCAAGGTGGAAGGCACTGAGACCCGCGAGAAGCTCAACTGTCGTGGTATGGAGCTCGTGGCTCTTCGCCTGTGCGGGGGAAGGGGGAGAGGAGCAAGAGGCGCGTGCAGGAGCTGCCTCGTTTTGCATAAGCTCTGGCTCGTCTGAGCTGACAAGGCTTTAGGGTTGCTAAATACAGAGTTGTGAGGCACCTCCCAGGATTGGACGCCAGAGCTCAGGGGTGGGGGGGAAGATCCCAGGTAACACCATGAGAGGTGCTGTGTCTCAGGAAAAGGATTGTGGAGATGATAACAGCTGAGGTTGGGCTGTCATGGTCCCTCCCAGCTGGCTGAAGAGTCAAGCCTCTGTATTATTGGTACCCCTGTGAGAGAGGAATTGCATTGCCCCTCGTTGGTGCCAGTACACTGCTACCGTCACTTCTGCATGGAGCCCTGCAAAATTGTAGGAAGAGCAGCTGCAATCCTTGCTGTCTTCGTGACATGGAGATGGCCAAGATCATCCCAGTGTGGAAATCATGACCCTACTTTAGAGAACCAGAGCAGTAGGACGATCTCAGCTGTGACCGACGTGGGTTTGAGCCCACGCACTCCAGAGTGCCTCCCTGGAATATATTCAGGGTCTTTGTCCGCAAAGGCAAAAGAGGAGGTGATCTGAGATTTCCCCATTTTCATCGCACTGTTATGCCAGGCCCCCTGCAGAGTCGGGGGGTGCTCTCCCCTACCTTGGGGGTCTTTAAGAGAAGGCTGGGCAGGCATCTGGCTGGGGTCATCTGACCCCAGCACTTTCCTGCCTAGGCAAGGAGTCGGACTTGATGATCTGTTGAGGTCCCTTCTGACCCTGGTATCTATGAACAAGACAATCCCAAACCCAGCAGGTAGCGAGGCCCAGAGAAATGCGACACTTTAGATGAGCTGATGCTGGTGCAGAGGAATTTCTGAGCCTACTTCAGTGTATGGGGCTGGTGGCAATCGCATGTGAGCGTAGCAGTAGCAGTAGCAGGAGTAGAGGCTGATATGGGGTAGGAGGGAGAGGGCTAGCATGGCTGGGTAATCGGGTAGGCTTTGAAGGCTGGCTGCCAATGCTGAAGCTGTCTTTGCCCTTCCCTGCAGGTGAAGAGCCCGAGGACTTGCTGTTCTCCGGAGTGGAGCAGCTGAAGCTGGACAAAGGTATGAGGCCACGCCAGTCCAGCATCGCCAGCTGTGGCAGCTCGGTGGCGAAGGGGGCTGCTTGGAAGGGGCAATGAATAGTGCTCAGGTTTGGGAAATGGGGGAGTGAATGTGAACCGGAGCAGAAGATGGTTGGGAGGTGTAGATATGCCCAAAGATGAGAGGCAAAGGCCCAGGCATGCATGGTCCTGGCCACGTACTGGGCTGGGACCAAGAGCAGCAAGAAGAATCCTGCAGGGATTCGTGTCCTGCCCCTGCGGGGGTGCTGGGGGCTGTCACCGATGCTGCTGAATGCAGGGGTGAAATCCCATCCTCAGGGCTGCATCACAGCATATGACTGCCGTGGATCTGGGCGGGCAGGGGCTTCGTCTTTGGCATGGAGAAGGAAGAAATGCTCTGACCAGTGAAAGAAAGGCAGCTGGCAGCACTGAGCATTGCTTCCACCCCTCTCATCCCTTTCTTTTCTCCCTGTCTCCCCAGAAATCGCCAAGTAGAGGCAGATGCCAGGCCCCTGCTGCCTCTTGCACCAAGACGCAAAGCCACCATGACGCAGAGCCACAGCTCACATCCCTGCTCTATTTCCCTCATGCTTTTATACCGCTTTCCTGAATCACATTAACAGCAGCAGCCTCCGAGCTCCTCTGTTCAGCATTTATTAATATTTATCCCCTTAGCACGGCAGGACATTGGGTTGGTTGTAAATCCTTGTTTGCTGGGGACTTTTTCTCACCCCATGCTAAGATGCACTTCAGAAACCCAGCTTAATATTAGGAGGGTTTTTAGACAAAAAAGCACAAGTGTGCCCTTCTATTCACCTCCAACCAAGGAGGACGGGGCATTTCAGTGCCTAGACCCCTGGGCACCTTTTGGCTAGTCAGGCAGGTGAAGACACCCACACAGGTGCTTTGAGTAGACCCTCGGTCTATTTGATGCTATCTGCAGCATAGCCTGCAAACTCAATAAGCCTCAGAGCAGTTTTTAGGGAGATATTAAACACAGAAGGTGGGACACACGCTCCATTTTCCCTCCTTTATGGAATGACCCATTGCAGGCCGTGGTCACTGGAGCACAGATGGCCCAGTGCCTCCCAGCACACAGACCACCTTTGTATAGGGGGTGAAAGCCTCTCCAGTCAAGGCAATTGTAAATAAGGATAGAGATGATTCTATGCTAAGGCCTTTTAGTGCTTTCTTATACTGAACAGAGCTTGAATTCAGCAGCAACAGAGGTCCACGCTTTTTAATTGCAATAAGTAAGCTGAAGAGACATTAGAAACCTAGAGGAGTGCAGGCTTCCTTCCTTTTGTTTTTTAAACCCATAGGCAGATAAAGGTTAAGAGGAAAGAAATTAGAAACTTGGATTCATTTGGATGTATCTGTAATGGGGAGGGTAAGAGCTAATCCTGGAGCTAGACGCTGGGTGTGAATGTGTGTGATCCTGACCTTGATTCCAAGGGAAAGTTGATTTCAAATAAACTTTTGAGAGGGAGACTGCTTGTGCGAGCTGGCTCGGTTATTCCATCCGTCAGGCTCTTGGGGTTTTTCAGCCTGTCCATGCCCCTCCGTGCATGGAGCTGCACGTGTACATGTGCCCGCACCCCCTTATCTGTATTTCCATGCTGGAGGGGCTCTGGACTCCCTCTCAGAACATCTCTCAGTGCTCCACGCACCACCCATCCCTTCTGGGACAAACCCAGCTCTCCCCATCCAGTCACACTGCTTAGTACCTGAACAGCTCCTCACCCCTCTCCCCTGGGGAGCTCAGCTAGTCCCGAGCGTGGAAGGAGGGAGCATGCAGCCAGCCGGCCCCAGAAGCCTTCTCCACTGGCGAATGCAGGGACAAGTACTCACACCCCTTCCTGGAGTGGTCTCCAAAGCAAGACAGTCTCTGCTCCCTCGGACCCCACCTAGCAGGGAAGGCCGCGGGGTTGGGAGCCAATTCCCTTTTGTCCAAAGCTACAGGCCGTGGCAGAGTAGATTCTGCACTGCCCTAGCCCTTAGCACTTGCCTTATCCCTTTTTGGCCAAGGCATGGTCTAGACCTGGCCTGGTAACTCCCCTTTTCTTTTAACGGGTAGATCTATTCCTACCGTGTTTTATCCCAGCACCAAACGAGTCCCCCTGCCTTAGGCACAACCTTGACGGAAAAGAGTAGATCAGGCCGAACAAACTGAGATGTAGAGCTGGATGCTTCAAAACCCTTCACAAGATGAACATCTTGGATAGCCCCTGTGTGAATGCAATGCCTAACACACGGCAAAGCAATTCATCAAAAGCTGCAATCTTTACAAATGCCCCGACAGGGTCGATGGCAGCCCCACATCCAGCAATAATACCAGACAGCGGCTCCTAGATTTGGAAGTTGAGATCAGACGCCAGAAGCAAAATTCCTGCCAAGTGCCTTTACCAATTCTTCTTTCAGATGATGTCAACTGATTACACCCACATCCCCGTGCTTAATGATTCTGTTTTAACTCAGACTTGCAGTAGGGGAGGGGGGCTATAGCTAGGGCCTCACAGAGGTATCCTGCTAGGAGGGTATGGAGCAGGAAGCCTTCAGCAGACAGTGGGCTTTCCCAAGGCAGCTGAGACCTGCAGTCCTGTCCCCAGGAACAGGCACATCTGATCACCGCCTCTCTACATGAAGGTACTGTGCTCCCAGACCACCAGGAACGGTCCTCGTACCCTCCCCCAGACTGGAGCCTGGCTGCTTGTAACACAGGAAAGGATCGGCTGTCCCAGGCTCTGAAACACTGGGTGCCTCTTGGAACCGCAAGTCTGGTGCAGCACCACCCTCCTAAAGGGTCTCCTGGCCAACAGCTCTTGCATGGGGCATGCGAGGGCCACCGCGCATGGGGCACGCAAGGGCTGCAGGAGCTGTGCAGTGAAGGGCAGCGCCGCGAGAGATTTCATTGGGGCTCCACGCCTCAAATCCTGCCCCAGCACCGGACAGACAACTTTGGCTTTGCTTGCTCAGCAAAGCCAACATGCTGCATGCGCACGGTTCTGGAGACCCTGTCCCTATTGCCCCCCTCACACACACTAGCTGGATAAGGGCATCCACTTCTCCCCTTTGAAGGGGCGTAGGGTCAAGAGCTATCCACCCAAGAGCACTGAGAGCACGAGCCGACTCTGCTCCACGCCTGCCACGACACCTCACTCTACAGCTCCCGCCGGCCAGAGCCCTGTGCTCCTTCCCAGCTTTGCAGTATTTACAGCAGTCGGGGGAGACAGTGGCCGGAGGGTTCCTCGTACCCCCAAAACGACTGGCTACCAGAACGGGCCTTGACCCACCATGAGTACAGGCTGGAACGTAGCAACCCTCTGCCTTCCTCTGTTATGTTAGGGGGAAGCGGAAAGGGTTTTATACACCCACCTCCTTCACCCAACAGGCCCCTTCATCCAGCTGTCCTCTCCTGCCATACAAGTTAAAAGCCTCACATTAACTGGAGGGAAAAGGCCAAAGAAGCCAAGGCTCGGCTCACCTAGAGCAGCAAACCCCCCTGGGGCTATTCACTGACCCCAGGGAGCTGCTCTATCCCCACCTTGAGACCACCCCCGTTCCTATTTGGACTGCCTCACACCAAAGCCAAGGCAGCCGAGGCCTCGGCGACATGCCAAGACCTCCATTAGAGCCAGCGGCGCTGCCTTCTTGCCGAAGGCTCACTGACGCAGGCCCCAGGAGAGAATTTCACCCGTCCTCCCACCATCTTCCCTTTGAGACCAGCTCCCTCACGCACAGGAAAAGCCGGGGATACCCCTGCCTCAGAGGCCTGATGAAGCGAACACAGATGCCGAGAGGGCGAGACCTAGTGAACTCTCATTTTTGTTTTTAGTTGTAATAAAAAGTGAACCCAAAAAAGAACCATGTTTCAGTAGGTAGCAAAAAAGACAGACGTGGCCCTCGCACAAGGAGTGGAAGTTGCCTCTGAAAAATAGAGCTCTGGGGCGAGGAGGGAGGGGAGCAAGACAGCTGCATCATCCTCTCAGCAAGGGGAAGCCATAGTCTCCTCCACGAGGGGAAAGCGCTACTCGTCCTTCTCAAGGGCTGCTTCCTTCTCTGGGAATAGTGCAATGGCTGACGGGGGCCTTCGGGAACGGGGCAAAAGACATCCAGCTTTTCTTCTTCTGTCCCCAGCCAAGCGTTGGTGGCAGAGTTGCAACACTCGGCTCTACAAGTCACAGTTAAAAGACCTTATAAATTACAATTTAGAAGTTTAAAGGATTAAAAAAAAAAAAAAAAACCCCAAAAAAACCAGTTTTCATGTTGCTGGGCTTCCCTTTTCCGACTTCCACGCTTCTCCATTCATTCACCGTCGGCAGTCACGGGGCGGGCAGCGCTTTAGGCACAAGAGAGAAACGCGAGTTAAAGGAGGTGGGGGAACGTGCGCATCCCAGTCCCACAATGAGCAGCCAACTCACCCAAAGCCACGCACCATCCCTCGTCCCCCCCCACCCAGCGGTCGTACGATAGTCGGAAGCTGGGGGAGCCTAATGCTGGCCAAGAGACGGAAAGCTCCCCTCCCTTCCATGCATGCTCCAAAGCAGTTGCTTTACTTTGAATTTTGTGCTGGATTTTCCTTCTGGGTCTTAGGGCCCTTGTGCAAGAGGAATGGAAAACCCCAACCTGTTCATATAATGGGCCACCGCAGGCAGCAGCAGGGGTACAACTCACCCCCTGTCTCCGCCAGGAGACCACGTGCTACCCTTGCAACCTCCCTAGCCTTGCCTGGTCAGGCAGGAAGTCCACTGACCAAAGTGGGGGGACAATCAAAAAAATACGGACAACTTAACCCCTCACTCCCAGAGATGTTGATGCTGCCTCCGAGGGGGAAATCTTGAGCTGCTTTCCCTTCTCCGAAGAGCCTGTCTGCAGGCTTCTCCAAAGCAGCAGGGGCAAGTCGACACCATTTGGGCCAAGGGTGCCAGAAGCTCGGCAGAACTGGTGGGGCGAGAAGCTGCGGAGGAGGGGGGAGGTCATGGGACCTGCAGCTTAAGCTGAGGCTGATGCATGACAGCTAGGAGGGGAGACGCACTTCACTGCACTCCTGCTGCCTGTGGGAACCATAAGCTTAAGAGCTTGGGGATTTCCGTTCAGGGAGCAAAAAGGGAAAATAAAAATTCACAAGCTCTTAAGCTGCCCGTACCTCAGCCAGACAAAGGCTGTGTTGCTTCACCCTTGCAGGCTTGCAAAGCAGTGCTTGGCTTTGGCCCAGTCCCTGTGAATCCAGCTAAAGCCAAGTACAATGCAAGGAGGGGGAAGAAGGCAACCATCCAGCTACTCTGGCCACAGGGAGTTTGGACAGTGGCTTTTAGTGGGAGGGATGGGGAGCAAAATTAGGAACATGCGTCTGCCAGCACAGCACAGCACAGCACAGCCCTCCCGGAGAGAAACGTGTGCACGTGCACGTGCACGCGCCTCTGCCTGTTCTGAGGTTGTTGGGTTCAATGCTGCTTGCCTGAAGGGCAAGTTCTCAAAACACGAGTCTTTAAAAGCACAGGCTTTGGGTTATTGGAGTTCAACACTGAAGGGCCAACCCCACGGGACACGTACCTCCTCACAAGGATCCCGCTGGCTCGGAGGTTTTCTTCTTCTAAGAGGAAGCAGAGAGAGATGATGGTTTCACAGGCTGTGTGTGCACAAGCGCTGTATGCAGAGGACCCTGCAGGGCCAGTCCCACAGTGTGTCGGCCACTGGAGGCTTCTTTGCATCCCCCCAGCTCTCCCCCTCCATCAGCTCTCTGGGCTGGGATAGACGAGCTTTCTAGTGGTCCAGAGACACTGCTCTCATCGCTCCCACATTGTCCAGCCTCTCTCCGCATCTCCCTTGCCCCCTCCAGCTTTGGGCAGCAGAAGCCTCCTCTCTTAGAAATAGCAAAGCAAGCCAGGAAGGGTTGCTGGGGTTTCCACCCCCCGCCCCACACCTGCTACCTGGTGACGGGGACAAGCCTGGCAGCCCCACCGAGCAAAGCTACACTTCTCTCCTTAGGAGAGAGGACAGTTTGGAGAGCAGAGCCTTCCCCCGCACTGCTAATATGGTGGGGTAGGACAGAGAGGAAAGCTACCCCAGCTATCCCACCAGCTCAGGGGGCATCCAAAACATGGTCTCCCAGGCCACCTTTAGCCTCCTCTACCCCTTCCCCAGCAGAGGTGTCTCCCCCATGACTTGGAGCAGCCAGACTGGCCCTCGCCTCTCTGTCCGGGCAGCCTGGGACACTAGCCATTTTGTGCCGGACAGGAACAACATTCACACCCACCTTCTTTTTCTTCTTCTTGTGGACAGAAGAGCCATCTGCACCTAGCTCCAGCCCAGAAGACTTCTTGCTCTTCTTCTTCTTGTCTTTTGCAGCCTTCTTTTCTAAAAAAAGGGAAGAAAGGACAAGAAACCACATGAGAGAGGGGACCAGGGGTCAGAGCTGTCACCCAGATCAGACTCCTCCAGTGAGGAACAAGGCTGGGCATTTTCAGAAAAGGGGTCACCGCCTGGGTGGCAGCTCACCCACCCCTGCAGGGCAGAAAATGGTGGTGGTAACAGCCCAGTCCTGTCCCTAGGGGACCAACTTATCCCACTGCTCCGGCCCACCCGGGGGACACCTAGGATGAAGCAGCTGCAGCTCTGAGCACCCCGTCCCATCACAACTGCTCGCAGCACATGCAAACGATGCAGGTGTCTCCGGTGCTGGGTCTACAGCTGGCAGCAGTGGTCTGGAAACCCTCAGCCCACCCATGCAACACAGCCAGGACCATGTGCGGCCAGCACCATCCATCAGCCACCCCTGGAGAGGGACAGCAGAGTGGTTTTCCAAGCACCAGAGGCAAGTGAGAGGAAGGCAGAGCTGGGAGGACAGCGGCACTGCACAGACTTGGCTCAACTGCTGCTCTGGTTCAAACACCAGCAAGCTTCAATGTTCTTATTTCCAGCAAGCCGGGACGACCCCAAACCCATGCCCGACCCACCACCCCCATGCAGGCTGCGTCGCCCGAACAAGGAGGGTGGAACAGAAGACAAAGCCTTCATGAGAGGTGGAAGGGGCAGGAATCTCTCTTCTAACCAGGAGCACCACGTGCCCAGCCAGCTCCAGTCTCCCCCACTGTGCTAACGGCACCAAGCTGCCTTCAGCCCTTTCCACCCCTCGCCGTGGTGCTGTAATAAAGCAAAGGCAGGGTGACAGCGCTCCTGCCCCACCTGGGGAGAGCACGGGTGCCAAACCAGGCAACCTCATGCTGCTTTTATGCATGTCTAGGGGAAAAAGGGAGCCTGTACATATGGGCAGGACACAGGGGATTTCTGGAGAGGGCATGAAGCATGCAAGTTCCCCGGCTGCCACCAGCCTTCAGGCTCAAACAGCCCCAGTACCGTGAGTGCCTCAGACACTGGAAGGGAGAGCGAGGAATAGCAGCCAAGCGCTATCTGGAGTGCCGTTTATTTGCTGGATGATGCCTGCCCCCAGGGCTGACCCAGCCCTACCCGCCCTGGGGAAGTGGGGTGCACTTTGGGGGGACCCTGTATCAGTAGCTGCCACCAGACTCTTACTTTTGCTGGATTTCTTTTTCTCCTTGCTGCCCAGCGACTTCTTGGCACCATCTGCCCTTTTGCTCTTCTTCTTGGGTGGTTCGAGGCCACTCTGCTTCTTTCGCTTCTTCTCCTTGGGCGCACCCATGGCACCAAGGCCTCCATCCTCCGCTTCCAGCTTCCGCTTCAGTGAGGGTTTCTTCTGTTTCTTATTCTCCTTGTCACCACTCTGGGGTGTGTTCGGAGCCTTGCCTGGCGCCCCCTTGGCTTTCTGTTTGCCCGCTGTCTTCTTCCCCTCCGGCTCCCCTGAAGCTGGGCCAGCCGGGACCTTGGCGGCTGTGGTAGCCTCGTCTTCGCTCTCGCTTTTGGAGCTCTCCCCATCCGAGGGGGATACAGACAGCAGGGCATAGGGGGACATGGTTGTTGGCGTCCCCTTCAAAGCGCTGTCGTTTTGCGGTGCTGCCAGGGCTTTCTTGGCAAGGGCGGGTTTCAAAACGGCACCTCCATGGCCCCCTTTCCCTGCTGCAGCTGCCTTGCCCGAAGCCACCTTTGGCGTGATAGGTTCTTGCCCAGAAGACAACAGCGGCTTTCCTCCTGTGGAGCCAAGTTTAATGACACGATGACTCAGGGAGGTTTATTTACAACCCCAAGGAGAGGCCGGGACCCCTCCAAGTCCCCCCCCCGGCCCTCCCGCACAGCAAACTCCACAAGGCAGCATGTCTGAATCAGCCCGAGGAACAAATCACCGCAGACACAGAAGCACAAAGGGCTTTATAAGTCTGCACGGGGGAGCGCATCACCTCCGTGCGCCCGTGTCGGGGTCTGAGTCACAAAGGAAAAGGCCAGTCGGCTCCTCCTGCTGCTCAGCGAGTGGGAGGAGCAATTGCTAAAAAGCAATTTAATTGCTTTTTAGAAGAGCAATTAAAGCACTTTGAGTCCCTAAAATCAGAAAGGCCCAGGAACTGCGGCTGCAGCCCCCAGCACATTAGCAGGCAGCGTGAACAGTGCCCACGTCAGCGCAGTGCCATGAATCGCTGCCTTTTGTGAGCGCCGAGCTTGCATTTGCATTAGCAGGGAACGCACTAGATAGACTGCTGCATCTCAACCGGGGTGCCTCGAGATCCTTTCAAGGGTGCCGGTCAAGGCTGTGCAAACAGGATTCATAAGATAAACCAAGATATTTCAACTAGGAAACCCTTCTGCCCTGCGGTGGGCCAAGTTCTTTGCAACAGAAGAACTGCTCTACTTTTTTTATCCTGTGGTTAACAAAAGGAGTGAACACCAAGCTGACATTTTCTGAGAGGGGCCGCGAGTCTGAAGTCAGCCTGAATCATTGGGTGTTAATGCTTTTTTTTTTTTTTTTTTTATTAGTGCTCCAAGCGACGTGTATTTAAGGTCGCACCTTTCACCGCGAGAGGGCCCTTGTTGCTACTTGCTTCTTAGGTTTAACTATTAGGTGCACTGCACGCTGCTGTTGCAAGGGAGGACACAGAGCCCCTTGCACACGCAAGCCCCGCGAGCTGCCAGCCTCTCGAGCAGCCAGCCCGAGGGACGTGCGAGCCCCGTGGAACGGCCTGCCACGTCTCTCGAGGTGGACAGCAGGGGGCAGCAGCACACCGTGCCTCGCCCAAGCGGAGGATGGGCGCGAGGATGCCTGGGTCGCTTTTCACCTGGACTCGGCGTGGAAGCAGACCCACCAGGCCTCCCGGCACAGCTCTGGCCTGGGCAGGCTGGTCTCCGAAGTGCCGTTCTCCACCCTCAAAAATCTCCAGCTGACAGGGCTTCCTCTACCTGCCACCGGAGAGGACGCGACTGTCGGGCAGGAGCCCCGAGCTACCCTGGCATTAGGAGCCCCCTCTGCAGCTGCTGACATTTGGGAGCTGAGTCTTAGCCTCCTCTCCCCAGCCCAGTTTAGCACCGCCTGGACTCACCCACTTTCTGTGGGGCCGGGGTCTTCTCAACATCTGTGTCCGAGTCGCTGCTGCTCTCGCTCGCGGAGATGTCAGCCTGGGCTGCCTTCCCAAGAGCATCAGCTGGAGCTGGAGCCACAGCCGCAACCGCTTTCCCTGCCTTCTGTACTTCTGAAGTCACGGTGGCTTTCATCAGGCCGGGATACCCTGCTAGGAGGGACTGGAGAGCGCACATACATACTTGGTGAGACGCACAAAGATACTGGGCTCATCATACCTTCTGGCCTCCAACCAGGCCCATTTTAAACACCGTCCCCAACTGCACCAGGCATGGACCTCCACACAGGCAGGCTCCCCAGGGCCTACACTATTTCTATGCCATGGTGCAGTTGCAGCTGGAGGGCGTGAGCTGGGGTGCCGGCAGGCAAAGCTGCACGACAAGGACAAGGGTGTTGGAACGAGTCTCTATCCCTGCACCCCAGGCTCGGAGGGGACCCCTCCTCTGGCCACACACCCAGGCAGTCTCGCAGGGGCAGGGCATGGCGTGAGGCTGTTGGGGAGAGGTTGTGTATATGATTGATACGTTTATGGCACATCCAGCTGATTGCAACACACTCGCCTTTGCTCTCCCCCCCCATGCAGGCATGCAGGGGAGGTTTCTGGCCTGTCAGCAAAGGCCTAGGCTTGCAGGCAAAGCTAATGGGTCACAGATGGTCTGCAGGCCCCAGGCAACCACTTTAGGGGAGGATGAATGACTTAGGCATGGGTTAGGCTACCTAAAAAGTGGCTGCTCAAGGTATGACATGGTTTCCCTGGTTTAACTGCTTCAGCGCTGCAGGGAACCAGGTTCTCCTTGGGCGCTACGGTGCAGCCGCAGGAGTGAGCCCCGTGGGGTTTGTCTGCCTCCCCGTACCAGGGAAAGTTTTCTCCCCAATGGACACATCACGGCTGGGACTGCACAGGCCCCTCATTCAACACCTCCGCAGGCAGCTGCAATCGTTCCTGCCTGGGGCAAATCTGTTCATAAGCATCCACTCCCTCCTCAGGGGCCAGTAGACTCCAGCCTGGAGGACATGGTACCTGTGAAGGCTGCTCCTCATCCTCGCTGGACTCAGAGGATGAGCTCTCGGCTTCATTTATCCTCCCCGGCTTCTGGGGTGGGGCTGCTGGAGAA